CATATAGCATTTTAATAATGTTGATACTGGAATAAACTACTTTGTTCGTAATTTCTTTTTTAAATAAAATACATACCTTTATATATTCAAACATTATTTAGTTTGAAGTATTTTTGTGAATTTTTTGATTGTAGTTTTGATATTCGTTTACTACAATATATTTAAGAGAATATTTTAGAGTGAAAAACATATTTTTAACCTTTCACACAAACTACCATATCATCGAAAAAAAACGGCGTTTAGGTGGCTTGGAAATTACGATCGATAACATTCCTCATATAATTTTAAATTCGAAATGATTGCAATCTTTATTTTCCAGACGTTTATTCTGACGTCGCGCGTCGTTTTTATTTCAATTGTACATTTTTCGATAGATAGATACTAATTATAAAGAATAAAAACATGGTTTCATCTACGTCGATAATAAAATCTATAATACAACAAGAATATGAGTAGTTCCTTGACCAGCTATCAGCTATATTTTTCTTTTCAAAGCAGATATTTGCCTCTTTTGTCTGTGTTTTTTGTGTGGTCAAGAACCTAATAAATTTAATATTTGCAAAAATAATACCTCTTAGTCAATTATACAAACTCAGCGCTCTGTTATACAGGGTTAGTCTTAACTAAGTGCAAATAATTTTAGACATTTTTAGCAAAAATATTTTTGGAAAATTTGGATTTAAAAAAAATGGTATTTTTTTAAATGTTTAGTTCAAAAAGATAATTATTTCTTTATAATATGGCAACAGAGGTAGTAGATTTAGACCTACAAGAAAGAAAACCCAAAAAAGATCCAATGGTTCTCAAAATTTAAGCGAAAAATCAATTTGTTATTATTTAAAGTATCTCGGTTATTTTGAATTTATTTCAAAAACGGTACAGAGAAAATATGTTTATTTACAACCACATATGTAATACTGACATTACTGACTTTTAAAAAATTTGAAAGTGTCAAATTATCTACATTTCTTCACTCTTCCTCGCCCAATTCCTTCACTCAGCTTTTCTTATTTCTCGCCTCATTTAATTAAGCAAAATATTCTTGTAAAATCTTTATTATATACTTATCTAACATCAACAAAAATAAACAAGAAGATTAACAATAATAATTGAAGATTTTAAACATTTATTTGTTGAAGGTAAAACTGCTAGAGACTTCTTTGGCTTAAAACCTACATTCTGGCGTTTAAAAAAAGCGACGAGTTTGTGATATTTTGGATGTCAGTTTTTCCCTTAATTCTAGTGTCCCCTTGTCCGTATCATGCTGTACGTAGCCCAAAGGGTAGATGGCTTTTTCTGCCTTGCCATGTCGCTAAAATATGCCATCAAGATTGTCTTCGAAGCAATATTCTTAGCATTTCTTTCGGCACACCATTTTTCGTATATTTTCAATGCTATTTCATATCGCCCCCTACTTTTCTCTGGAAGTAAACTGGCTTCTGCTTTTTTTGCAGCTTCTGGTGGAGTACCAATATTAAAGTAGTTTTCATTATCAGAACTTTCCGACAACATTCTCGCTTTTTATGTTATATAAATTCGAAAAAGCAAACGGGAAATTCAAAACTGTCACTTAGTTGTTTGTTTTGCTGTTGAAGGTTTGCGCCAGAGAGAACACTAATAACTAAAGTTAGAGGGCTTGTAGAATAGGGCATTTCGTAGACATGTTTATTTTGTCACCGCGCTTCCCAGACGCGCATAGCGTTTAGGCGGGTAAAAAAGGAAGTTTTCAACTTTGCAAGTTAAACATTTGACAGGATTAATTAGATCGTCAGTAGCTTTTTCTATTTCTTAGCTCTAGAAGGAGATAACTAAAATCTGTTGCTAATCGGAGTAATAAATTGTTTTTGACTTTGAGAGAAGATTATTGTCATTATTTCAGATTCCACGATTATTCGGCATTTTTGTTTTGTGGTTGAGATCCAGACAAAACGTTTCCTTTAAAGGTAAGTTTTATCTCGGTAATTATTTTAACATACCTAATAGTAATAGTGAGTGCACATAATAATCACCTGTTCACTCCCAACCAAGTTAGATAAAAAAGATATTGAAGATTGCAGCCTTGAGTTGGAGTATGGCAAGGAGTATGGAGTTAAATAAATTATTATGTTCCTAAACAGTATTTTATTTATAGGTTTTAATGCTTTAAAGTCTAATAATAAATTTTCGTTGTGAACAAAATAATCTAAAAAAACTACGAAGATTTCTTATTATAAACTTGAAAGATTAAGATTCGGTTCAAATATACAAATCTATATATACAAAATATACAAATTTTTATGGCCAGTATATAGGTATGAATGCAACCTACTATATCGATAATGCGCTCATAGTTCGGGTTAGACGCCAAAGGCCGCGCCACTAACACAGTCTTCAAAAATTAACGTTGATCGGTCTCTCTCACTTTAGTTATTAGTTTCTCTCTGGTTTGCGCCATAACAATCACTGGTACCGGTAACTATAGATATGGAAATAATGCCAAAACAGAAAAAAAATTCGCATATTTATTTTTTTTTTCAAAATAAAATAAACTCCCTATTTTTAAATTAATGATGTGGTTGTAAATAAAATAGTATACAAACCTCGGAGGAAAGTTTTCATTATTGTCTCGAGATTTTGTTGATCTCTCGACAGTAAACAAACACTTTCCTCCTCGGTATGTAATATACTTATATTTTATCGAGATCTATCAGCCCTGATACTATTTGCACTTATTTAAGACTCACCCTGTAGGTATAATTGTAATTCTAGCGATGATTAGAATTTACTTATAGCATCCATCCTAACATACCTACAGAAGCGTGCTTTGTACAAATCGGATTACTCGTGACTCGTGACACCAAGAAAATACAAATATAAGTAAAGGTAATTAGATTTTAAACTTTTTTTTAATTTACTTTGTTAGTGGAGGACTTGTGGCAGAAGTGGGCCTTGCTAATAAAATCGCTGCAAAAGGAGAGGCTTGAGCTTTTATACCCTCATTATATTTCACCCGTCGAAGGAATTATAAATTAACAGTCAGGCGAGGGCTATTAAAGTGTTAAAAGTGGTTTTAATTGATGATGATGTCGATGCAGTACGAGAGTGCTGAGGTTGGTGTTTAGCTGGTGTAGGGTTTACTTTGAATATTAAGGGTGCAGTTATGATGTGCTCCGGTAAGATTAATTCAATTAAAACGGCTGGTAAAGGTTAAAGTGACATTTTAAGCGACCTGACTTTTATTGCTAGACCTTTCGCGAATTAATATTTCAGCGTAGCACGATCTTTTTGTAAAGCTATAGGGTAGGTATTGGTAAATTTAATATTGTAATAAAAAGTTCAAGAAAGATTTAAATTTACTTAATATATTTTTCGTATCCCGGGTGCGTCTCAAAAGTAACTCACCCCTATAACTTTATTATTTCCTCAGATAAAACAACGAGATTTGGTATGTTAGTATATGACCTAAATTAAGATTGATTGACATATTCAATTGTTTTCGGTCACTTCCGGTTTCAGCGGAAATGATTACAACTTTTGATTTTTAAATGAAACCCTCGGTATTTTTTTACTTTATTCGATAGAAACTGACACTCTCAATAGAGTGACATATCAAATGTCAACTTTTGATATTTACGCATACGGTTTATTTCAAATTATAACATGCGGTTTATAAAGACAACTTAACTTGAAATACCAAGTGTGTGGTGTCAAATTATCCGTAAAAAAACGCTTTTTCCAAATATGATAATGATCCATCCTCGTTTCATTTGAAAAAATTGAGACATGATTAAAAATACGATTTGAGCATATTCTAACCGGTCAGAACAAGACACTAAAAACATTAGACTATTGAATCTATTTTTCCAAGGATCCTTTATTAAAAATTAGTGTTTTTAACACAGCCCTCTAGATTGAAATTTAAAATATAATTTGTTTTTGAGCGAATTTGTCAAATTTGATATATCGGGTTACGAGAGTCACTTTTGAGACGCACTCGGTATATAATTCAACGATTAGAATATTTATTACAGAATACAAGAATATTATTTATATACAAATCTTATTTAAGTAGTAGTATTCCTAGAGGAACGTTTAATAGAGTTGTGAAACGGCTTCACCTGCATTTTGGAAATAGTAAACAAAATTCCGTAATTAATTTCATAAATTTTAAAAACTGCATTGTCGATTTCTTAGAATATAATAAAAGGTATAAAATATTGCAAATAAAAAGGCGAGTTAATTTTATTTTTTTAACTAAAATCTAAAAACATTTTTCTTTTTTTTTGTGTACAATAATATCCAATAACTCAACTTTCCCGAATATTGAACTCTCCCGAAACAACATTTTATAGCTTCATAGTTTTTCACATCGATTTCATCAAAAGCATAAATGGATTCAATCAATTCGACGAAACAAATGAGTAAACAAAGTGATCGTTGCATAATCAAAAAATTAAACAGATATATAATATGAGAGGATAAAATATAATTTACAATAATAATGGTACACTTTTTTAATCAACTAATGATTAAATGTTTTATAAACAATGAACATGTTCTAAAATGTCTATATCTAAAATAATTACGTACCTTAAAAGTTTTTGTTATAGCTGAAATATCCCGAATTATGACTCCAGTAGCAAAACCGGTGTGTAAAACTATGCTTACTACCATAGTTGAACTCATCTAATTTTTTTTAGCTGGAATAATGAATTGTAATACAAGTTAGACTAGTTCAAAATAGGTATTTACTTTGTTATTTTTATATTTAGAATTTTCAAAAATTATACTTCCTAAGACTTTTAGAATTACTAAATAATAAATTCTTCGTATATTCGCTATTTAAACCCGTGTGCCGTGTCTTCGATTTTGGCAGCACCGGCAGAGAGTGCACCAAGCCTATATTCGGAATTCTTCTTCTTAGGCCGCCGTCTGCCTTCGAAGGTTGGCGATCCAACTGGCTATGATGGTGCGTGAAACCGCACCTCTGAAAATTTCAATCGATGTTCTTCCGAACCAACTGATCTCCTGCCTTCAATTTTGCCCTCATGGTGTGACCGACGTACTGTAACTTCCTTTCCTTCACTGTTGATAGGAGCTCTTTATCTTTGCCCATCCGCCTGAGTACCTCCTCATTTGTCACTCTATCCATCCAGCATACAACGATACAAGTACATCTCAAAAGCGTTAATGCGGTTTTCCAATGTCTGATTGAGTGTCCAACTCTCGTAGAAAGTCGTAGAAAAATACTGGAAAGATGTAGCAACGCAGCATACGTATGCGCAGTTTGAGGCTTAGATCTCGGCTGGAGAAGAGGGTTTTCATGAAAGCAAAAGTACGTTTGGCCTGTTCGATCTTCGCTAAAGTTTCAGTTTTGGGGTCGCAAGCGTCATTAACTAGGGCTCCTAGATGCTTTATGGACGATACTTGTTCTACCACCTTGTTAATTCTGAGGATAGTCTTTCCCGGTGTTTTGGAAAATACAACAAGTTTACTTTTGTTAACATTGATGTGTAATCTGTACTGCATGCTATGTTGAACGATGCAGTCCATCATGTTCTGAAGGTGTAGAATGTTGCCAGTACGACTGTATCATCTGCGAAGCGAATATTGTTGATCAGGGTACTATTGATTTTGATACCATCCTTAGCGCTCTCTAGTGCCTCATGGAATACCGCCTCGGTGTAGATGATAAAAAGGAGTGGGGATAACACCCCTGCCTGACGCTCTTTCTAATTGCTACTTCATCAGATGTTCCGCTATCCGCCATGATCTCTGCAGTCTGGTTCCAGTATAACTGGGTGATAATGCGCAGGTCCCCCTCATCCACACCGGTGGTTCTAAGAATCTCGGCAAGTTTTTGGAACGACAAACAGTCAAAGGCCTTTCTATAATCTATAACGCAGGCATATATATCGACGTTCATGTCCCTGCATCGCTGTGTAATAACGTTCAGTGTAAAAAGTGCCTCGCGCGTGCCAACTCCGTTCCTAAATCCAAACTGTGTATCCCCAACCTATCCATATTGGGAATAAAGCTAGTTAAATTATACAAATAAGTCAAAAATTAAATAATTGTCCCGTTACCAACTATATGCAATCGGTAATACCTATAAGTTTTTGTTTCTATATAATAATCGGAACTAACTGACAATCATAATTTTTTTAATTATGTAAACAACGATAATTCAATTTTAAATTTAGTTTACAGTTTAATCTAACTAGTAAAAATACAATAATTCTAATATTTTTGTACATATTTATTCCAGAAGTAAATTTCTTTTTTTAAAAATCTTAATTTAATTTTATCAAGAGGGTTCCTGACATTTTTTACAAAAGATAAAATAAATGAATGCGACCGAAAGCACAAAAGAAAAAGTTCATAAAGTGATATTAAAAAAGAACCAGTCAAGCTAAGCTTGACCTTTTGGCGTTCTGCTTTATAAAATTTCTTCTTAATATATTTCTATAGAAAGAGGAACTATTTTATCAAGAAATATTTTTGAAGTAATATTTTTAATTTTAATATTGTATCGAAACTACTATTAACGGGTATTTCTTAAAAGTCTCTATAATGGCTAGTTATGATCTGCTAAAAGCTTATAGAAAAAAGAATTTTAACATTAGAAGAAAGCTAAATACATCGGAAAGTTGGATTTGGGTATAGACAACTTTATGCAAAGTCATCTAGGTAATATAAAAATATGTATAAAACATAATACAAACTTAGATATAAAATATTAGACACAAAATGGTGTTTAGAATATAATTTAGTATCCAAAAATCATAAAAAGGAACTATTTAAAATAAGTATTTTGGCAAATATGAGTTTTATATGAAAAACAAGAAATGCAATGAAAAACTCTGTATAATTAATTTTAACTAATCAACTGAACACGTACCAACCACACCAATGGAATGAAACTTTCCAGCATTGCAACTTCTGTTCAGTTGAGCTAATGTTAAACACGCCGCTCGCCTTTTTGCCTCGAATTCTAATGGATTGAGTATGTATGGAATTTTTGGGTATAGATATGGAAGCAATAACCAGTTTGGAGAAAAAACTAATTTGGATGGTCGAAGTAACAAACCATTGAACCCATAATACCGCAGAGTAGCCAGAAAACCAAGAAATATTAACAAGTAAATTTTGTTTGGCTCAAATGAAAACATTAAGCTAATGAAGAAAAGAAAAAATAATTGTCTAGTATTTCGCTGACTCCAGCAATTTCAAAAGGCCGTCGCCCGTTTGACATTGAAACCAAGCGCGTGGACAAAATATAAACAAGGATGGAAGATGCGAGGCGGTAATTAGGAAGTATGCGATGGATAAGAAGGCAACCAGACAAACAAAGGCAAAGGTAGTGTTGGCGTGTGCATTGCTTAACTGATATGAGCTAGGGTTGGAGTCTATAATAGAAATAGACGCAATAGGACGCAACGCACCAGGACGACGCACTTCTTCAATACGGATGGTATCGATTAGGACCTTTTGTTTGTACGGGATTAAAGAGTAAATGATAAAAATATATATTTTTTGTTATTTCTTTTTATTTTTATCAGTTGCAAGATTACTAGTAATTCTTATTTAGTAAGCAATTCTTATTTTTGTAATTATAAAGAATTTATTTTCTGTGTAATTAACTTTCTATTTTTTTTAAGACTATTCTCTATTTTTTTAAATCTCAATAATTTAAATAAAATCAATCTTTTTAAATTTTAATTAATCTTAATAGCATATGATTTTTTTATCGCTGGGGACCAGCTCTCCAAGCCCGGGGGATATGTCAAGACTTAAATATAGGCTAACTTGGGTTTACATCAAATTAGGAGAAAAATCATGTAAAATATAATTCCAGTAAACCAATTTGATCTAGATCCAAGGGAATCGTTCACGTATACGTTGACCTAGACATGTTCTTATAGTAAACATTGTTAATTAAAACAATTAAAGTCAGGTCGATGTAGCGTGATGTTTCAAGGCAAGCTCGTACTAAACATCGGTGCTGGAAAAATACAAAGAAAACTTTTGAGCACGCACCCGCCAATGATTGGGACGAGCGGACAAATATAAAAGGGTATGCTGAAGACAGGAAAGAGGTTAGTTAGTTGATTAGTCCATTGCAGTCCAATGTTCAGTTAGTTGGCTAGTCAGTGATTCGCATTATTAGTCCGTTAGTTGGCTAGTCAGAACCAGTAGAAGACAGCGAAGAACGAAGATGTTCCTGTAAGTACCTTCTTTGGGTATACCATATATTGAGTCTTGGCGTTTCTTGGAATTTCTCAAATTTTATTTTATCCACACTGTAAACCTTATGCTAAATAAATGTGTTCTTATCTAATGGTTGTTTTGATTAAGAGAGAGAACCTGGTATAGCGACCCTAGCAAATAACCCCCAGCTAGGTCGCGACATGTGGTGGAGGCGCCGGTCTCTTGTTTTAGTCAACGCAGTCTTTTTTAATGCAAATTTTAAATTATTTTCTTTAGTTTTTTCACAACCACGACAATATAACTAGCTTCAGTGTGACCTTCTGCTTTTAGCTTTTTATATATACTTCTGTCTGAAAAGTTATATTTCTTCTGTAGGTCATGTTCTTTTTGCGATGAGTGCTTTTGTGTGAGATTTATTGCTTTACATTTTTTACTTCTTAATACTTTTAGTCGTTACGCTGGCCAGGGTATGATTTCTGTTTCTAATGTGTATATATTCGAGAAAAGTATAAAAATGAGAATTTGTATGTATAAAATATACGAGAAAAAATATGACCGAAAATTGTTTACAAATAATAAACTTCTCATTATTGAAAATTTTAATATTTTAAAAATACATTTTGTAATATTATTTGCCTTGTTGATTTGGTATTGTTCCGGAATCATAACAACTCTATAAATAATGTTTGTAGAAAAATAGTTTTTTTAGGTTTGTTGAAACTGTTGAAACTGACACAACTTTTTTAATAGTAGCTTTTTTAAATTTTATTTTATATTTAGGTATAAAACAAAATTAACAAGTCAAAAACATATCAAATAGGCCTAAATAACAAAAATTAATTTTTATTCGAAATATTTATAAATTAAAAACAATTAAAATTTGTAATATTATATCTACACGATATTTATAGTTTTTGCTGCCCTTTATATACGTATTTTCCAATTTTATATTCAATAAAATGCAATATATGTATATAACTACACATAAATTTTAGAAAAATAATTATTTATATTGTATGTTAAAAATATAAATATTTTATACAAGCCAGTTAATGTAATAATATGTATCAGAGAAGTATCATGAGCATTAATAAAATAAAATATGAATACATAAAAAGTAATTTATTCTTGTTTACATTATCAAAATAATAAAATATTTCAATATACTCCAATAAATATTTAAAATCATTTTTATTTTCGGTTTAAAAATTCGGATTTTATTTCTGATCTGAATATTTTAATAAATAGATTTTTATATACAAAAAGATGTATAATAAAATAAATAGTTGTGTCATTAAAATTTGAAAACAGAAGTATTTTTTTAAATATATACAGGGTCCGGCAATAGTACGTCGGGCATCTGCAGCTCCTAGAATAAAAAACTTGGGAATTTTGTTTAAGTGCAAACCTAAAATATGTACGAGGATATATTTCAAAAAAAATATTTTAAATTCTACAGGATGGCTTAAACACGTGTCAGTAGATAGGGATGATTTGTTTTTAAATAGAACACCCTGTGTATTATTGTATTTTTAAAGTGGCCTAAATGGAAGTCAAAAATGCAATGATATACAGAGTGTTCCTTTAAAAAAAAAACTCAACACACTCAAACTTTTTTGAGCCACCTTGTAGAAATTAAAATATTTTCCTGAAATACATCCTAGTACATTAGGTTTGCGCTTAAACAAAATTCCCAAGTTTTTATTATAGGAGCTACGCACTATTGCGGAACACTGCTGTATATACCCTCTACCTATTATATTAAAAATAATATACTAAATGTCTTTGAATACTAAATATACACCATACATATTGTAACGTTTTTAGTTCGTTAGATGTATTTTTTATATATGATTTATATGATGTCTGGCTTATCGTCATCGGATTCCATATCGTTCAGACCTGATAATTTATTTGGCACGCTTGGCGTAATTTTTACGT